TGGTTGTGATTCTGCTGCATACAAGCAATGGAAGGATGAATATGAAGTCAAGGAGCCAAGGAAAACAACCACTTCGAAGACGTTTGAGCTTTCTACACTTGATCAAGATTTCGAATTGACATTCAAGTCTGAGCGGAAGTTGGCAACACTAACTCAGCTGGTGGAATTAACTGGTCGAACAATTGACGACATGCGTTCAGCCATGGTTGATACATCATTTGAGATCGATGAGCTTGAGTATTGGGCGGAGAAGTATCTAGTGATCGAGAACAAGCCCAGTCGTGACTTTGATTTAAATTTCAGTACTTTCGAGAAGATGTTGAAAACTACCAACTTCGAGTCTCTTCATTTGCTGAAACGATTTGTGCTCTACTTCATCCACGAGTTCTACGTCTTCGAAGGATCCGATATCACCTACTACAAGTGAAAGCTAACGGAGGACGATAATTCTGTGATAAAGGCATATGATCCAAAGAACTTCTTCAAGGTGCAAATCCAGTTCATTGAAAACAAGAAGCCACGTTCCACCAAGCTGTCTGACCTTCTCAATACGGTTCCATTCCACAAGTTTGCAAATACTGTCTGCAAATGGGAACATGATCCAAATGATATGGAGACATTCAGCTTAGCAAATCCACTACTTGCAAAGGATCTTCACGAAGAAATTACCGAATCTGACTTGCACCCAGTATTAGTCGATTACTTGAAGCGTATCATTTGCTTCAATCATTCTGAGAGGTACCAGTGGTTGATGGAGTATATTGGTAGCCTTTGCCATTATCCAGACAGCAAGACGACGGTTATGCTCGTGTTGTATTCAATGGAGAAGCAGATTGCTTCTTCAAGCTTCTTACGAGTCTTCTGGGAGCGTCAAATACTCACATGACTCAGCATCTTACCAATGTCTTCGGAGAGCGTGGATCGCCACAACTTCGACATAAAAATTGTGCTGGTTTGAGGAAATTGCTGGCGATAAGCGCTCGTTTCGTAATTGTCTTGAGCGAATGAAGTCTGCAATCACCGATTCCGTGCAATCTAGTCGAAAACTCTACCATGAAGAAGAAGTACATGGCGACATCACTGAATTTATTGGTGCTTCCAACAACTTGATTGGCATCGTCGAAGACAAGATGACACTTTTCGATGTAAATCCAGCGGAACAGCACAACAAGGTCTATTATGGCAAGCTGATTGATGATGTGATCAAGAATGAGAATGAGATGAACAAATTCTATTTTTGAAGCAGCTTGCCAATCCCAAGCCAAAATCCTTCTTTCGAATGCCTATCTATGATTCAATGACAACTGCTAGCAATGAGGGAATTGTCAACTCTGTCAATGAGCTTAAGGAATCGGGATTAAATGGAATCGTACACACTGAATCGCAGGGCCAATATCGCGTGGAGAGAGATATTATGTATCAGCACTATCAAAGATGGTGTGAGACAGCTGGTGAAGTCCCTGATAAGCGATCGAAATTTTG